AAAATCAAGGGAGTGGGAGAAAGTATAAAATATTAGGCTGGAATAGGAAAATATAAAACTGACCCAGTCGAGATGAAAGCGGGGGGTCAAAACAAACTGGGGAGGTTGAGAATCTCGACTTGGATCATAACCAAAAGAACAGCCGGGATGCAGGCCAGAAACAACATTACTCACATTAACTAGGTACACTGAAGCTTGTCTAACCTAATAAAGGGAGGGTTCCACAGGAAGCCACCCCGATGTGCAATAGGTTGACCTAGAAGAGAAAATCAGGCTAGCCCGTTCACATCGAGTTAGAAGCAAGCTCGCTTCTTTTTACCCACCTTTCGCTAAAAGACTGTCGAATGCAAGAATTTTCTATCCGATCTAATCTTCATCTTGAGCTGATGCTCAAAGAATCGAATTAGATCCGAATGAGAAAGACGATTGCTTCGCAAGACTTCCTCCTTTCGCGTCGTCCAAATCACCATTCGAGCCGTGGCCATCAGCGTCAGAAACACCATCCGTTTCATCCCGGAATACGGGGGCGACACATTGTCACACGCGAATGCGCGATCAATGGACACAAGCTGTTCGGGAGCGAGACGAGCCGTCATCTCGCTGACATGGTCCCATAAGGGGCGGACCTGGGGGCAATGGTAGAAGGCGTGCGCAGCCGTTTCTTCTAAGCCAAGGCCACACCGTTCAGTCTGGCAAATCCGCCAAGCCCTATATGAAAGCCTTGTCGTTAAGAGGCAGCCGATTCCGAGCCAATCGCCAGCTAAGCGAAAACTCAGGGCTACTATGGGTAATCCGCCGCAAAAATAAGACCAGTAGGAGCGATACTCCTCCTCCGACAAGCCGAGCATATCTCGTAGAGGATCCTTCGCGGGCCTCTCCACTAATTCACGATTGAAGACCTTCCTAGGCCGAGAAAGGTCACTGGACCGGGGAACGGCCCTCAATGCCGACCGACACTCGCGAAGGAAAACCGTTTACGACCGCGCTCAACCCGTGAGATGGGGGGACAGGGAACGCGTCCCTAACAATCCCCTCCAGAATCGGATCTCCTCCAGTCAATGTGCGGCGTAGGAAAGCCAAGAAAAGAGGCACGGATGTGACTCGGCAGGTGCGGCATTCAGCCCCCCATGACACGGACGTTTAGTGTGAACTCGTCTGTCGACCCGATTCCCGCGTCCCCTCCATAAAATGGAGGATAGCGATCGCTCGAGCGCCTTCTTGTGGGTCTTACAGAGAGGAAGTACGGACAATCGATAAAGAATCAGGGGAAAAGCGACCCCCTTCCAGGCACTTAACCGCAAGCCGGACGACTTGTCGCGGTTTATTTTATAAGATCAGCGCTCCGTTTAAACATGGTCACGTTGTCGTCACATGGGCGACGCTGTGAAAACGTATTCCTAAAATTTGAGTATTTTGAAAGAAAAATGAAAAGAATTCTATTTTGATCTAAAATTTATATGTACGCTTGTCGAGCATTAATCTCGCTAGAAAAGGGGAAATACTAAAGAAGCCAGGTCTAGTATTCACCGTGCGTGAGATAGATATTATGTCTGCTTCATAAATCCGCCTAAGATTTTTATTATGAAAATATTTTAAAATCTTCACGGAATCAAAATCGAAATTATGATCTGCTTTAGTTGTGTGTACAACTAAAGCATTGTTTAAATTTCCGAGGCGAATATCTCGTTTATGTTCAAAAACACGAGATTTTACGGACCTACACGTTTCACCCACATATTTCAAAATTCAAATTATATCGTAAACCCACATGTAAAAATGAATATTTACACTTTTACTCTCACCATGATACTAACACTAATAGGGGTATTATTATTGGATTCTACTTAAGGGCTCTTCGCATCTGTTCAGCAAAATATTTAGATGATGAATTCAGATATATTGAGGATACCTTTTCATATCTTTCGTATCCGAGACAATTATTACTGAGAGCTAAAAATAAAGCGTTGAAAATTCACTCATCAGCGCAAAATGACACAGTGAAAGGTACACTTTCATCTGCCCCTGATAATAATTCTTTTGGTCGCATCTTTCTACCAAATAACCATTTGACCGAACGTATCTCCAATAATTTAAATGCGTTAAAAATTAAAACTACGGTATTACCTACTAGAACTATCCGTAGTTTATTAAATAGCACCAGCAAACAACATATTACATCCGATGCTTGCAACTACCAAATCTCATGAAAAAAATGTGACTTATAATATGTGGGTGAAATTTTAGGAATACGTTTTCACAGCGTCGCCCATGTGACAACAACGTGACCATGTTTAAACAGAGCGCTGATCTTATAAAACTTTCAGTTATCTGTTTGGATAAGTCTTGTTCTTAGGTCCCTACTAACATCAATTATGTTTAGTTTGTATTTGTGTTTATTTTAAGTTTATTATTGGGTTCATTTCCCTCCCCTCTCATTTTATCATTATTATAATTGTATATATATATCATCATTAAAATTTTTATGACATGGGGCGCGATTTTGGTAGGTCTCCCTTGAGAGCACGTAGTATTATGGTGGTTGAAGGATTGTTTGGTGATGGACGAGTTCTTTTGGTGAATGAGTAAAATGTAATGTACGAATGGGTCGCGAATCTGATTAGCTAGGTATAAGATAGTCAGTGTTGACCAGCCTCTACCCCTCTCCTTTATTGGCCTCGTGCCACAATTTGTACTTTTTGTATGAATAAATACCAGTCTTGTTCTTATGTCCATCGTCTTTGTCATGTTGAATTAATAATGTTAATTATATTTTATGAATATGTCCTGAAGATGGTTTATTAGACCGAAACGTCCGACGTTGACATTAAAACAGCATAATTGCATATAAGTATTTTTGTTTGTTTTTTCCGTATATATTTTTTCTTCATATATATATATATATATATATATATATATAAATGAACATTAAGTCAATACTCAGAGGCGACAGGCTGTTTCATGCTGGACGCATGAGTGTTGACTTCAATGTTCACTTTTTATATTCATATTTACATACGCTCTATCTCTGATATTGAGCTTTTATCCCATAAATATAGCACACCTAAAAAAAAATATATATATATATATATATATATATATATATATATATATATATATATATATTGCACGCACTACACTATGATTCTAGGCAGAGGTGCCGAGGCGTGTCATTCCCAGGTAGGATATACAAGTAATATGATCCAATGAAAATGATGATCCATAACGATGGATATCATGATATATATATATATATATATATATATATATATATATATATATATATATATATATATATATATATATATATATATATATATATATATATATATATATATATATATATATATCTTAAGATTTTAATTTCGTGCTCAGGTAGGAAATAATGTCGTATAAAAAATCCATGAATTTCTTAGAAATTCCTTTGCCTATGCTTCAAATATTTAAAAATAGCAGATATGCACTTTCGAGAACATCCGAACTCTCTCTCACGATCGCCGGATCAGACGGCGGTTTCGCCAACAAAGTGAGACGCTGGTTCGAACCCTACCGAATACCACAAGCTCTTTATTAAGTCCAATGATTTCTTAGAAATTCAATACACACACGTTAAAGATTTTTTTTTTCATTTTCCCCCAAGCAAGGCCATAATGCCACATAAAGACACAAGAAGTTACTAGGAGTGAAAGACAATGAGAAAACTTTCCAAGGAACCAGAAACCCAATCGTAAAAGGAAACAAAGGATAAATATCTACTCCATTTCAAAGATTGGCGAGGTGCATGAACCGTACAGGTAAATGACATCTCAAGTTTTTAAACTATAAAATTAATGTCTTCCTGCTTAAAGATCGAAAGATCCAATAAATAAATATCCTGCGGGGTGGTTAATCTAGTATATATATATTCCTAATAATATTTGGTGGTCTCCAAGCTTTGGAATGTTATTCTATTTATCGACAGTCCTCTGTTGATGTTGCGTTATGAGAATTATAATTTCAACGAAAACAACTTTGAAGCTATTTTTTGAAAAGTTATTATGCGTTTAAATAATAAAAATCTAAACTTCAACTGTGGTTATCGACCAATTATGAGAAATCCTTTCTTATGTCTCACCTTACTGATCTATTTCTATTCATTCTTATTTACAGCAATATGAATTTATCTATCAAGCAAAGATCCAATAAGACATTTCCTGTTTTTTTTTATCATCTGGAAATTTTAAAAGAATTTTTACTTTATTAGTAAATTCATATTTGTCGAAAATTTTACAAAATATTCTTCTCAAAAATTACGTGAATAGAAAAATGACCTCTGAACATTTGAAATTTCCAATTAACTCATTCGAAGAGATCACATTCGAAGAAAAGCATTAATGATTAGAAAGAAGTGTCTTAAAGAAATGTGCTCCTGAACTGATTCTTGTTCTTTTCAAACTCTGCAATAAATGCCTTACTAATTCTTGATTTCCAGCTTGTTATTACTGTCTTTAGAACCTCTGCTGAATCCATGATCCCGGCAATTATCGTCCTATTAACCTTTTACCTATTTTTGGCAAAGTACTAGCAGCTCCAACTCTGAATTGGTTAAGCATCTCATTTCACACTGCCTTCTTTCACATAATGTGACTTTCGTTCCTCTAGGTCAACTTGCCGATGTATTAATAGTTATTACTGAATTTGTCTACCGGGCTTTAGATATGAACGGCGAGGTTCAGGTTCTGGCTTTAAATATCTCGAAGGCATTTAATAGGGGTTTGGCATGCTGAACTTCTCGAAAAGTTCAAGGGTTATGCCTTGCCTCCTAGTGGCATTGTCACTTTTCTTAGGTAAAATTATTTTAAAAAGTCAACATTTCAAAGCAAATAGAAGCTTTTACAATTGAAAGGCTTCAATATTTTCTCCGAAAAAGGAAGAAGAGTAAGCTGACCCTAATAAAAAGTAAGAAAAGAAAAAAGGAGTAGCAATAGAATCGATGAAAAGTAGTGAATATGAGTTGAATAGAACTAGAGGAAGAGAAACTTATCTGTTGAAAAGTCGGTAACTTCGTGTCTGTCTGACAAAATGGCAGCGCCCTTAAAAGGTGTTGTTATGTTGAAGGAGAGGAAAACAACTGACAAAAAGGTGGTGTCAACAATTTGATGTGACGTTGAAGGAGGTGGAAACTAAGTGAAATAGGCGGCCCCAGAGTGACTTACTTTGTACTGAAAAGTGAGTAACCCATCTGACAAAAAAAAAAAACAGCTTTTGGGAGAGTTGGGTGACGGAAAACGAGGAAAAGTCGGCGTCACAACGAATGACGAGAAGGAATAACTTTTTTCATGAAAAAGTGGCACAAGGTGAGTGGAGTGGCTTGAAAGAGTTGTAAAAACCTAACGAACACATAGGCACCGTCAGTGGTTTGTAAGAAGAATAGGATAATTTGAGTCGGGTGCAAGGCGATCCTTATACCAGGTCTGGCAATCATGCGACTGTTGTTCAGAACTGGGGGCGGATATATAGAGGCCTAAGTAAATAGTATTTACTGAGAATATTTTTAGCAATGAACTTTTCAGTAATGTCCAGTAATTAGTAAATTAGCAATTATATATAATATTAGGAGGCATTTTTGTACAATTATTGACTTATTTCCATAAATGCAAATGTTCAAAGAAAGAACAAAAATAGCAAAAAATAACTAAATACTAAATACTGTACTAAATAAAAATCACTTTATTCGCCATAAATTAGACATTTTTAGATGATATTGTAAAAATAATGAGTTAATTTATTTATGAGATTTGAGTACAGAAAATATAATCGAATAAGACAATTAGAAAGCACTTTACAATACTTTACAAAAAATGTGAATTTTAGAGAAACAATAATTTAGTGGGGAGGCAAAATTTGCACTAAAAGTTTTACTTGTTTTTCTCATGAAGCAGTTCAACTAATTTTATAAAACCTGGTGCACTTTATTATAACCTTGCATAATAATTACCCACATTTTTTTACAGATAATTTTGTAAAAGATGAGAGTTGAGGAAAGCAAACGTTAAAGGGTGTATGATAAGATAAAGGCACATGTTCGTCCACAGAAGATTTCAGTCATAGTTGAGGTATCCCTACGGACAGATTTTAATGTGAAGAAGAGAATGACTATGAGGGAAACTATTCAGAGAAATCCTGGAATTGGCGGAATCAACAAAAAGCGCAATAATATTTCATCAACAATATCAAATCCAAAATCTCAAAAGACCGAACGAAATCCATTAGAAAATTAGCAACTAAACTGAAGGTGGATGCTAAGACTGTCAGAGCAGCAGTGAAAGATGACTTAAAAATAAAATCTTACACATGAACACCATGAAATTTGCTGACACAATCCATGAAGGTCAGAAGATTGGAAAAGTGCAAAAACTTCTTACTAATCTTAAAAGAAACAAGTCCGCTGTAAAAATTTTCTCAAACGAAAAGATCTTTACCGTTGAAACTGTCCAGGAAATACAGATATATTGCACAGTCAAAAGCTCATTTCAAGAGCACTTTCTGAACGAATCATCCAGCTCAAGTTATGGTCTTTGAAGTTGTGGCATCAGATGGGAAAAATGCCTAGCAAATTTTTCAAACCTGGTGAAAAAGTTAATGCTGATATCTATTTCAAGACTCTGAGATACAATGTATTATCATGGCTCAAATCCAATCACCCAGAGGAAAACTATGTATGGATTCAGGATGGTGCACCTGCCTATAAAGTCAAAAAAAAGAATTTCTGCAAATCCAATTTTGCCGATTTTTGGCCATCACACTTCTGGCCCTCTTTTGTCCCAGATCTCAACCCTTTATATTATGCTGTTTGGAGCGTTTTAAAACATTCCACTAATAGAACCTCTCATCCAAACATTAACTCTGGTGTTTTGAAGAATTGCAGAAGTTTCAGGGAGCGAATGGAGGCAGTAAATGAGAAATAAAGAGGACATATTGAATAAAGTGTTTCTTTCCTTTTGTATTTGTACGTTGGAATCATTCGTATTTCTTAAAATAAACTAATTAATAAACTATAAAGTCTTTTTATTTCATTACCCAAATTTTGCCTCCCCCTTCACTTCACAATTTGTTCTACAGAAAATATTTATTTCTCTAAGACACAATAATAGATATTACCAGTACACATAGTTTTCAAAATTAAAATCAATTTACATTAACAAGAACACAACATTTAGATAATTTAAGGTGTTACTCAATTAAATATATGTAAAAAGGGGGAAATTGAAAATAAAATATTATTTGGTATCCCTGCGGTATCCAGTGGAATTTTTAAATTACCACAATCTATTAATTTCAAAAATGTTCATAATGTTGAAAATACAAACTAGTATTATTAAATATTTCCTCTTCTGTGGGTCAATCATTTTTGTAATATAGCCTGCTACATATAAAAGTTACATTTTAATATCTTTAGGGATCTTAGTTTCAAAGTCTGTTAAATTATCAAATGTCTGACATCGCATTTCATCCAGTAAATGTTCAGATTTTGAGCAATTATGGTCTCAATCAAAGTTGTATTACTTGACATCAACACTTAATTTAAGAAGTTGTATAGTTTCTTCAATTTGAAATTTCTCAATAACTTTTTCAACTCTTATAAAATATGCAACTCCAGAACTTTCTCTTCATTTTTTAAATTCGTTTTCTAAATAGTCTGTGATAAATTCCCCAAGGATAACAAAATTAATAATGTAAAAAAGTAAAAAACGATCTTGAATGTCTTCTTATTTTTGTGTTATATTTTAAGAATAGTTGTAGAAAATTAATAAATTTATTAAATTTAATTTTATCATTAATTTTGTGATAAATTTTTTAATAAGTCATTTTTCATTAATTTCGCAAGGAAAAACGTTACATTTTTAATATCTAATTATTTACGAAAGACAGAAAAATTCAACATATTTTTTTATAAAAATATGTTTGTTCTGCTAAAGAAAAATAAGAAATTATTTATTAAAAAATAATTTTGTACTTAATATGTTCATTGCTGAAGAATAATAGCATAGAGGAAAATATTTAAATTTATATTAACTTTATTAATTCTTAATGACAGTTGTGAATTTTGGACCGAAAAAGTTTGTTTAAAGATAAAATCTGCAAGTTCAAATAGATAATAATATTACTTACTTCAGCATCTTAAATAATATCTTATATAAAAAACTTAAGTTAATCCAAAGTTAAAAATAAATATTTCTTTAAAAATAATAAATTTCTTAATCTAATTCCAGCAACGAATTTTCATGTCTTCAGTGTTCGCCCGCAGTCGCTCACAGGTCAGCACGGTGTAGAGGCATGAGTTATGGATCGTCTTGATCGGGTGGCAATGGAAGAGGAAAAGCTAACTGTTAAGTTTCGTGGGTGGGGGGGATTTGAGTAGAACTCTCAGACAAAAATGCGGAGTTCATTGATTGGCACTTATCTGACGAAAAGGCGTCGCGAGGATGAGTAGTGTGGAAGAGAGAGAGAGAGAGATAGAGAGAGAATGAGTAAAGCTCGGACGAAAAGGCGGCAATAGAGTAGGTTGTTGCATAAAGGAGAGAGACCCAAATTATGAAAAAGCAGCGTCAGCATCGTTGTAGTGGAAGGAAATGAATATCTCTTGGATGAAAAGGAGGTGCGTCCAGATGAGTGGGCTGTAGTAGAAATAAGACGAAAATGCTATAAGAGAAAATGGCGACGTTAGGGTGAAAGAGTTCGAAGCCGAGGATCCTACTGTCGAATAGGTTGTATCAGGTTGAAGGCATTGGATTTTCTTGTTTATATAATATGTTGAAACATGCTAAAATCGAATGATGGATTCATTCAGAGAAACAACGAATTGAAATAGGCAATTATTATAATCGACACACCAGGGGAAATGATCAAAATTGGAATAAAATGCGAAAGCGAATCGTACTATTGTGGTAAAGAGAAACATTACTTTCTCTTTAACGAAATGCTTAATAGCAACACAAATTTTATAAAGTTGCTGCTTAGAAGTAGCTGAAGAAGGAACAACGTTATTCTTTTTACACTTCATAAAACTCCAAATTTCCAATTTTCAAAAACTGATATTGGATAAATATGTGGATTCCATATGTCGTGGTGGTAGTAGAATTTGTTAAGAAGTTTATTCTAGGTAACTTTACGTATCATATACAGACTTTGATATTTAGTAAGTTTGACTTGTCATTTGGTCAAAATAACACGCTAGAACTTCTTACGCGATTGACTTCCAGAATGAAACAACGTGTTTAATATCGTCCAATAATGCGTGTGCATGTGCGTACACACAAACACATACACACACCTATCTGTATATAAATATATTTGTAGAGATAAATATAGTCATATGTGTATATATGCATATCTAATCCAAAATTATCTGATCTTTGAGAGGTGGCGTATATTTTAGATATTTTCGCATGTGATGGTGACTTTTTCAAATATCAAGCTTCATTGAATTAGTCTTCAAGAGAATTCCCCTTCTTTTTTCTCATTTTATTCTAATTCACTATTTTATTGATCAAAACAAATCATTTTAGTTCAAAAAGGAATATGAACGCTGGGAGAGGTAATCTGTTTTCCGGAATCAAATAACACTTAAGCCATCGAATTCACATAAACCGCCACAAAAAGACGCTTGTTTGACCAACAAACAAAATATTTTTCTCCACATCGATTTCATTGATATGTGCAGATTTCCAGTTCGATTGCATTCTACAGCTAACTACATATAGATTCCAATTTCCCAATACGGAAACGTGTATTCAGCTTCGTTCTCTTTGGGAAATATACTCTTGTGACAAATGCTGGAGACAAACGGAATAAAATGGTTTTATATAAACATCATATTGACGAGAAAGAAATGAAAAGGTTATTTCATGATTGAGGTTTAGTTTCTCTGAAAGTAACTTTCAAATGATGAGATCTCTTAAGAAAGAAATCGTTACATTTGAAGATTTTTCTATGTTTATTCAAGCTTATTAAATGCGGTAAGAGATTTTCAATGTACATAATACAAACAGATGGTTCATTTGAAAAGACGTGATCTTCATCAATATATTTATAATCATGAAACGCCTCGCAATTGGAAGAATTATATACCAAGTATTCGAGTAGTGACTCATCTGCTGGAAGAGCAATGTAGTTTTTACAAAGCGAATACACCATGTGTCACATCGTGGGAAACACAGCATTTGATAAAATAAAGCTTTTTATAACAATTTAATGATTTCGTGTTGATAGGAATAAAACGGGATAAAGATAATCTTTGTTTTTACAAATGAAACCAATATAATTCTGTAATCAAACAATAAACTGATAAGTTTAGTGTTCAATTTTGAGTTGGATTTCGGGAAGAAGTTGTGTAATTTGGATGAAGTTTTGGGACGAATACTTTTATATTGAATTAGCACTTGGCGTGTATACACGTGTAGCGGAAACGAAATAACAAACGGAGCAACTAAACGCTTCTGATAGCGTTAGCCTCTCACGTCGGTCAAAGAGACGGCTTTTAGTGTGTTGTCTCTGCAGAAAGACAGAGTATGGCTGCCATCCCAGAACAGTGACAATGCGAATCCCGGAATGTCTGCTTATGAAGAAAGAAAGTGTCAACCAGCTTCCCCATGAGATAGTCAACACGGTGAGCTGAGCGGTGTTAGCTATACAAATGATTCCTTTGCTAGCCAACATAGCAGGCAGGCATATTTTCTGAATTGATTTTTGTTCGCGTTACCAAGGATTTCTGACCGTATTTGTCCGTCAGCGTTTGTGCCCCCGGTGTCTCGGTTGTATTCGTTCCGTACGTGTGCTGTTCCCGTGTGGAAGTAGTTGTTCGTGCCATGAACGTCGGGATCCATTGTTTGATTCCGGTGCTGCTGATTTTTTCCGTCCATCTTCATTGGAAGATACTCAACCAGTAACAAGAAACTTTACATGTTTACATATAATTTGCTTGAAAGTTAAATCTGATGCAGTAAAACGCATTCAAATTCAGTATAGACGTTTATCTATATTTCTTATAGAAATGTGTTTCCATACTGTCGTTTGCACGCATATAAATATCTCTTAAAACGAGTAAAAATATGAAAACTTGCTTGAGAAATGGATAGGTTGGCTGATATTTTCATAGAAAAAACTATGAATGCAAGTGACAATTTTGAATAGGAAAACTTTTTTCAGAAAAAACTTTTTCTTTAAATTATTCGATTAGCATATTCTAATATAAGGTATGTGTGTGTGTGCGTGTGTGTGTGTGCGTGCGGGCGTGTGTGGGGGAGCTTGTTATGAAGTTAGACGTAAGAAACTGAATGATAAAGCAGGAAAGAGTGTGACGGTGAAATAATTAGCCAATACGGATTCGGATCCCGTAACGAGAGTAGAGAAGAAAAAGGGTGCAGTGATGCACCAAATTGTAGGTAACACCTGATTTCAAGAATACTCAAGACGCTTATAAATATGGTGAAACGCTGGAGGAGAAAAAAAGAACAGAGCGACTACATAACGATCAATAAGAGATTCAGAAAGGCAATTTTTTACAATAAAAGCCGAGCCAAGTGACGATTTTGGGAGCAACCATGTCCCACGCATATGGAATCTCAGAATAAAACTTGGAAAATTAAAGAAAACCAAAACAACACCCAAACCACAATCCAATAAACACTTGGATAGCTCCAATTCCAAAGGGATGGATGAGGATAGAATTAAAGGGATGTATACTGATAGAGTTAAAAACAAATGCAATAAATTAAACGTGAATGAAAACAAAGTTTATAATTCAAATGATCAGAATTAGACCGGAAATAGGACAAGAACAAAGACACCGGAACAACAAATCCTGTATTTATGCAGAGAATGATATGAGAAACACAGATTTTGCAAAAGCATTTCATGAGATGCGGCATAAATATGTTTGAACTGCGACGAACACTTTAGATTTTAAAATAATCCAGAACTTATACTTGGAGGAAACCGATGCATATGAATCGAAACTGAATTTAGTAAATAGGAAAAAGTATAAAGAGGCGCAACCATAAATGTGACTTCTAACTAGATTTACTTAACTTTTACAGCGAGCTTATCCTTAGAGAACTAGATGTCCTACCAGGAGTTTTATTAGCAGAAAAAATCTGAACAACATAATATATGCAAACCGACGCTATTGATATCAGACACGGAAAGGAAATTAGAATTTACTCCTCGACAAGGTTGTAAAAAAGTGAGAAGAATTGATGAATATTCAGTTATATGAAGAAAAGATGTTTGACTGTCACCAAGAGGAACATCCCATGATTCTGGCTACGAATTGAAGATAACAAAACCAAACAAGTGCAGTAATTTAAATATTTAAGAAATGTATCACCGAAATCCGAAGGTGCATTGGGATAGCGAAAGATGACTTGCAAAATCTAAGCAAAGTATTAAGAAACAGGAAAGCTTCGTTAAAAACAAAGAAAACAACACTGAACTGCTATATAATATCAGTCCATCAGTTTCGCAGTGAACGCTGAACAAGAGATAAAGAGACTTGATACAATGGAAATGTGGTTCTGCAGGAGGATGCTGAGAATACTATGGAAGGGACATGTGAGTAACGAAGACGTTTTTAAGGATAATAGAAATAAAAAGAATATCTGCGTTTAGAATCAGAAAGAGGTAGTTGAAATTTCTAGGATATAAAATAAAGAAGCAGGACTTGGAGAATTTGACACTGGCGTGATATACAGAAGGCAAAAAAAAAAAAAACATAAGAAAGCACCGAGTAACATTGTTAATGAGCTGTTGAAGATAGATAGCAGAACAGGATGTGGGAGTGATAATGAAGCGACAAACCTTACTTAAAGATGAGAAAATTTAAAGAACCATGTTTGCCCACGTTCTAAAGGGATACATCAAAAAAGATTACTAACTTTTGAAATTGGGTCAAAATTGAAATGGCCTATATCCCAGGATGCCCTAAGTCAATTATTGATATGGATCCCATCCAACAAGTAGAGCCTGTCTTCTTAGATCATCGCCTAATCATTCAGGAACTTGTGGACAGGCTTACAGTTTTTTGGGGGGGTCTCTGGAAAATAATCTATGAGAACATGGATATAGAGAAAGTGTTTTTCCTACTTTTTCAGAAGTAAATCAGAGTCAATTGCTCTCCTCAGAATTTGGGCCATGTGTCAGGAAAATCAAGAGAGATTTTTATTCCGAATGTTTAAAAAAATTTGATTCATTATTTTCCAAAGACTAAAAAAATACTTCAAATAATTGAAGCTTGATGATTCTCTGTCACGCCCCAAATATATATATATATATATATATATATATATATATATATATATATATATATATATATATATATATATATATATATATGCTAGCAAAGCCATGCTCAAAATGTGAAAAATAGTCTGGTGCTTACGGATTTCCTGACCAAAACCCCCTCACAATGACCGCTTGATAATGATTCATTGCTGTTGAAATTACGGGAAAACATTAAAACCAATACAGGCGCTATAATCGATAAACGCGCCCAAGAAATATCGCACAAATGGAAATACAATCGGGTGGTTACAAATTTTGCCCGATTTCCACTGTTC